ATATGTGTCTCAGATGCCATTCTGATGTAGAAGTGTCAGCAGATCACTCAGAAGTCTGTCTCATGACCTCAGCTGTGGAGACCAAGAAAGAAGTAAAACACATAAGACTTTGCCTTAGAAAGAGGACAATTTTAATGACAGTGAATTCAAATAACCTGGCAAAATTTCTGATAAATCAATGGATCTCAACTTAGGTGTTTGTCTTTGCTGAAAACTTAAGATATTAAAAATAATATTTTTGTTATCTCTTAATAACCAGTATCCTATCTGTAGAACCAGTTGATCATAGAAAGTGACTCTAATAGAAATAATAAATATTAATAAATAGCATGTATTTGTAATTCATTCACATTTCATACCACGGAGTAGTTATTCATATTAGCTTGAGTTTATCAGTTTTTACATCAGTGGGAGGTTTGTTGATTCTTTTCCTACCATAAATCCCCAGCTTGTTCTTAAGTTCTTCTGCTATGAGCCTATGGTTTAGACTCTATCACATACAACATCAGCCTTTTCTCTTAGAAGCAGATGAGAAATCTGACTCTGACTTCTCAGATGTGCCCATGCTTCATCAAGCTCCACACATCAGTAGCATATGGTACACCTGGGCCCTTGACAGTGGCCTCACAACTGAGACGTTTTCCTGAAGGGTGATTTACTATTCTGATCTTCCTAAAATGCTTCCACTGCCAAATGATTGCTGGGGGATGAGGAGTGGGTAACAGAAAAATGATGTCGTATAAGAGATGGTCATTTTGGCTTCTTAGTGTACTCTGGTTAAAGCAGGCTTGAAGCATATCCAGAGCTAGGAAGCTGAGAACCAAGTTTTCTTTTCCTGTTTGAATAGCTCATTATATTAGGTACATTTTTTTAGTATGGGCTTAAGTATCAGATACAATAATTTTGTTTATTAAATTCTTAATTTCTTCATCTCAGTAGAAAAGGTAACAAACCACACCGAGATAAGAGATCTGTAAGTTCACTTGCTCTGCAAGGATGGGGACCTGAGTTTGAAACCTCAGCACACACTTAATACACTTGGGATACAGGATACATTGGGAGGCAGAGCCCAATCTCAAGGTAATAAGACAGGGAAAGCTACACGAACACCTGGACTCTTTCTTGGTCTGGCATTGCCTACAGGGATCCATGCATAAGTGTTCACACACCCATGTGCATACAAAACACACACACACACACACACACACACACACAAACCTGCACACATACACAATCACATGAGATGTGTTTAGACAGAAATAATTTGGATTCCATAGTCATTGTGCAAAGGCACAGCTTGCAAATATTTTATTTGTGGCAGATTTCCCCATGTGCACTTCCAAATCAAAATTTAAATTATATAGGTTTACTGGAAGTCTTTAATTTAAATTATTATTTGAACTGGAGTCTCTTGCTTCCTTTCCCTTGAATGTATTTTATGAGGAGGAAAAAAAGGTACTAAAATTATGAGAGGAAAAAAAAGTATAACTCTTTTAGATACCCTTGATGGGAATCTTAGCTATTATCAAATTAGCTATAATGAACTATATTCTGAAATAAAGGAGCTGAGCTGACATTACTCTCTCTGCTGCCTCTTGCATTGAAATCTTGTTCTATTTAGATTGCATTTTTCTTTGTCTACAAATTCTGAACAGGACTCAGGCATAAGTGTTGACAGGAAAAAACTGAGATGTAGGTACTCCTACCAAATCAAACTTAGAGAAAAAATTGTCAGGAAATACCAGGGGAGACACAGTTAGGAAAACACTATTACCTTGTATTTCCATACCTTAAGTAGCACCTAGCATGTTCTCTGTCACATTTTGATAACAAGATCAAATAAAAATTTTAAATGCATTTTTATAATGTCACACATGCATAAAATTTCCTTTGTTTACTTAAGCCCACACTAAACAATTGTACCTAGTATAATGAGGTACTTAAATTTTTCTACATCCTCTAGAACTCCTTGGTAGGGGATGCTCAATTAATTTTTAAAATACATTTTAGATATTTTTTGACTTTTTGTGCATTTCACATAATAGATCTTAATCAAATTTAGACCCCCCCAATCTGCACATTCCACACCCCCCTCACACTGTATTTCATGCTTTCTGTCCCATATGTTAAGTCCTATCCTGTCAAGCATTTGTATCCAGTTGTCCATCGGTTCAAATTCATCCACTGGATTCTAGTCAACTGATTTGGAGTCACTCCCTTAAGGAAAATCAACTCTCCCTCATCCTGCAATAATCAATTGCCAATAGTTCCTCAGCTAGGGTTAGGGACTGCTGTCCATTTCCCCAGTTCTATGCTGGGTTTTTGCCTGCTTGAGTCAGCATGGGTCTTGTGCATGCTGTCACCATTGTTGCAAGTTCATATGAGCAAGTTCCCAGAGGCCTGAAAAGCCTGTTTCCTATGTTCATGCACCAAACCTAGCTCTTATAATTTTTCTGTCCCTTCTTCCACAATGGTCCCTAAGCCATGGGTGGGTGAGGTTTAATATGTGAGTCCTATCCAGGGACACATACTCAGCAGTCTCTTTTTCTCTAAAACTTGGTGAGATGTGGTCTTCTGTGTGCATCGCATTCTGTTGTATGAGGAAGCTTCACTGGTGAGAGTTGAGGAATGTATTAGTTTTCTCTCTACCTCATTTCTGCTATGTTCCATGAGCTTTAGGTGTTGAGGTTCCACTGATGGATGTGAGCTAGCTACTGTTTGGGTCCTGGGACCCTAACCTGGGTCCTCTGGAAGAGCAGCAAATGCTCTTAACCACTGAGTCATCTCTATGGTCCCCATTTATGCCATTGTTGCACCAGTAATTATATCTCACCTAGACAGTCATTATTGTACCTCACAGGGTTCCCATTTGGGTACTATTGATGACTACTTTTCTCTTCTGGTAGCTTTTCTTTTCATCACATCATTCAGTAATATGAAAGTTAATCAGTAGGGATGGATCTCCAAGTTAGTACTAACCTGGTTTCTCCATAACTCAGATAAGTGATGTTTTCTGGAATAGAGTCTTGCCATCAAATTCTGGAGGGTAACCAAGAGCAATGGCAATACCCTGTGATGTTTGGCAGAGGGGTCTATGAGATCCCATTGACAACTCAATAAGAAGTAATATACCTGGCACTGGGCTTTTTCAATAAAAATGCTGTTTGGGGGTGACATTTTCCTCCCCCCTCACAGAGCAACTACATTCAAATGTAGCTTCTACTTCAATAGGTTACCATATAGCATTTTCAAAAGTCCTTAATCTTCCCCAAATTCCTCCTTTACCCTGTCCTCCCATCACTCCCAACCCAATTTATCCCTTCTTGTTCCATTCCTTCCTTCTTACCCTCTGTATTCTGTCCTCTTTCCTTTAAATTCCTCCAGTTTCCATGGCCCCTTTCTAGTTTCCTGCCACATATTTGTACTTAATCTAAGCACACATATCTAAATATTCACAGCCAGCATCCACATATGAGAGAAACTACGTAGTGTTCATCTTTCTGGGTTTGGGTTACCTCACTCAGAAAGAAGAAAGGAAGGAAAGGAGAAGAGATAAAGGAAGGGAGGGAGAGAAGGATGGTGGGAGCTAGGGACAGAGGGAGGGAGCAGGAAGAAGAGAGAGAGGATAGCAAGGACAGGAGGAGAGAAAAGGGTGGGTACACAGATTCCCCACATCACTCACTAAAATCAGTCCTAGATACATCAATGACACGAAAGACAAATGAGTATAATTTCTTTTTAAAAATTATTTGTATAGGGCTGAACAGATGATGCAGCAGTTAAGAGCACTGGCTGCTCTTGTAGAGGACCTGGATTTCATTCCCAGGCCCTACTTGGCGGCTAATAACTGTTTCAGGGGATCCAACTCCCTCTTGTGACCTCTGTGGGCATTGCACACAGGGTTGCACTTACATACATAAGGCAAAACACTCATAAACATAAAAATAAATAAATCAAAAAATTAAAATAGCAAAAATATAACAATAATAACCTCTGTTATGTATTAGAAAAAAAATTTAAAGAACCCTCACTAAATCCTCAACATTTACTGGATTATTTACCATCTTCAAAAAGTTGTGTGCTCTTTGGATTCACGGCTTTTGCACAAATTACTTCTCTGTCTAGAACAGCTTTGTGTTATTCAGGGTTCTCTTAATGAACAGAACTGATAAATTTTATATATGGGGATTTATTAGACTGGCTTCTAGGATACAGCCCAGGTAGTCCAACAAAGCCTGCTCCTCACTGAAGAGGCTGAGAATACAATAGTTTCTCAGTCCACAAGGCTGGATGTCTCAGCAGTCCCAATCTGATACTGAAGGACTTGAGGATTCCTAGAGATTGCTAGTCTTCAGTCTACTTTGAAATAGGAAGACGTTGGTTTTAATATCAGTGAAGAAATGCCACTGCAACAAGAAAGATAAAGTCACCACTGAGAGACAAGGCAAGCAGGCAAAAGCACAAGTTTCCCCAGCCATGACCTTTTATGCTGTCAGAAGGTTCTGCTCACATTTAGGATGGGTCTCCTGACTTCAAATAATCTGATAGAGAAAGTCTCTCACATTTCATTAAATTCCAGATCCACTCAAGGTTCAACCAAGAGTAGCCAACACAAACCTCTTGGATCTTGGGTATCTTGTATATTCACAATTTTACTCATAATCTCCAGTTTACAGTTTTCAAGGCTCTTTCCTAATTATTGCCTGCCCAAAGTGCACCTTTAAGGGTCCTTCTATCTTTGCTTCCTTGTGCCTTTCCTTTTCCTATGAGGCAATAACCTTTTTGAACCAATAAATGAGTACCATTCATTATAGTATCCCACATTCAACTAGAGACACACACAGAGAGAGAGAGACAGAGAGGATCAGAGTTGGACTGAGATCATTTTAAAGTGTGTGTATGTGTGTGTGTGGGAGAGAGAGAGAGAGAGAGAGAGAGAGAGAGAGAGAGAGAGAGAGAGAGAGAGAGAGAAAGAATATCCCTTATCCAAAAAGCTTGGTAGCTCTTCTGTGAGTGTTGTTGAGATGGCACATTTCAAGACTTAAACACAAGTGTAAAAAGAAATCCTCTTTTGCAATCTAGAACTCTTCCTCTGTATGAGTTTTGACACATATAAGAAGGAATGCAGGGGCTGGAAAGAATGCCTCGTGGTCAGGAGCACTGGCTGCTCTTGCAGAGGACACAGGTTTGATTTCCAACACCCACATGTGAGCTGACAACCATCCATAACTCCAGTTTCAGAGGAATCTGACACCTTCTTTTGATCTCCACAGCATTGCATGACACAGGTGCACTCACATACACACAGGCAATATACTCATACACATGAAATAAAAATAATAAATAAAATATTTTTAAAAATTTCAGGAAAGCCTCAAGTAGGGCTAGTATTATCAGGCACAAAAAAAAATTTCTCCTTTCTCCTGCCTATTTTTATACTCTGTATGTTTCCCTTATCCAGAAACACCCTGATGAATTCACCCAAAATACCCAATTTGGACAAATATCTGAAAACCACATTACGCAAAATCACTTGCAAAATCACTAGAAAATTAGCCTTCACACTGAATGGCTGATTGAATGAATGAATGAAAAAAAAGAATGATTTGGAAATCCCCATGATTTATTTCTATGTTTGGCATTGCTTGGGGTATTTGGCAGGTCAGTCCAGATAAACTACAAAAAGGATGACGACAGTAACAGGATGTAAAAAAATGTGTGATATCAACTTTAAGGGTTTGATTTCTTGTAACTGGGAAGAATTGGTGAGATCTTCCATTATCTAACACCATTCAAGTAGTCTCAACAAATGTCATCCACACTCATAATTAATTCTAGGACTCACACACAATGAGGTCTAAGCTTGATGGAAAGTTTGGGCCTGAGTTTGGTAAAAAAGATGATCATCATTATTGATTATAAATCAATCTCAGTCTTTGTAATACAAACCCTATCTTTAAAACAGAGAATGGAAATGAAGATATTATCAAAGTTTTCTGAGGGAAACATTTTAGGAATTGGTTAGCCCATGAAGAGTTATTTGCAGTGTGCAGTAGACACTCCTGACGATTTGGAGTCTAAATCAGAAGGATCACACATTTGAAGACAATCTGCATTACAAAGTTTAAGAGCCCATCTCCAAAATCAGAACTATGCTGACTGACTTAGTTCTTCAGTTGTTATACAACACCATGGCCAATGGATATACTATAATTTGTTTAACCAATTAGAAATTGTACAGTTGACTCATTTTCTACTTTCACTGTTTAAAAAATTGACTAAATGACTTTATATAACTATTATTCTTCTTTACGTATTTATGAATAGATTCCTACAAGTTGAAATTTTAGATTAAATTGTTGTGGTTGTGCATGGCCAAATCAGTTTTCAAAGGTAGTATATCAATTTGTAACTACATTGATCTAGTTTCCATTACAAAAAGGTTTACAGTGCTGGTAGGCTAAAGTACTATATTTGCTCATCTTTACATTTTTGAAAACTAAAGAGAATTTTCTTATGTTTTGCTTTTTAAAGAATCCCTAGAGCAAACTTTCAAGCGAAACAGTCACACAGATCCTAATTGATTTGTATGAATAATGAGTTTCCACTTGACTTCATGCTGACATGAAGGTAAATGACCTGTTTTAGTTATTAAACAACAAAGTTAAGATGAAAGCTAGCTTCCACTGTACATGTCTTGCTACTTAACATCAACTGTAAAGATTCTATTCTAACTTTGACATAGAATGATGGCATTGATGTTCCATATACTTTGATTATATTTTGTGAAAGAGCTATATCCAATAAGACGTATGTGTTTGAGGAATCAGTGGTAGAGCTCTTCATTACTTAATCTTGTGCTAGGAACTGATATTATATAATAACTCAGAAGGATGCTGCTAGAATGAGACCCTATTATTCCCTTACTCCGAAGTTAATGAAAGATGTGGAATGACCATGCTGAGCTCCTGCTTGTCTGACCACTGATAACTAAGTCAGGAGGAACAAGGCCATTAGCATATGAGTGTGGCCCATGCCTGATAACCATATATAGGGCAAAGTTTGTAGGTCCTAAACTCCATCTCTACATATGCTGGCTGATTTTAGGTAGTAGCTTTATAAAACTCATCTCTTCAGAGAGGGCACACTGTCCTAATTCTTACAATAGTACAGATCCAGAGCATCATAGTTGATTTGGAAGGATCTCAATGTCAAACCTTGGATTTGAAGGTCAACTTAGAAAGAATCTAGCAGGACTCCCAGGTAAGGTCACGAAAGAGGAGCCAACATACTGGTTCTTGGTCATTGGCACCAAATCACTATGTACTTCTAGGTCATGTGTCTAATCTGTTGTTTCAAAGGATGAGGCCTCATACCTGGCATAGTGTTGAAAGCCTTTAATCCCAGCACTCCAGAGGCAGAGGCAGGTGAATCTCTGTGAGATCAAGGCTATCCTGCTCTTCATAGTGAGTTCTAGGAGTAGGGAGACCTGTCAAAAACAAACAGTAACAACAAAATCAAATGATGTGGCCTTATCAGCCCCTGAGATAGATTATATGCAACAAACCCACAGATGATTTGGTGTTTAGCCTTGACAATTTTTGGCTTTGGGAATGAGTTCATGTTGTGCAAGTAAAATTGAAGAGCAAAACTGATAAATGATGTGTATAATTTCTCTATCACTTACCCTTTTTCACTTTGCAAATTTTCTATTGTATCTGTATTTGGTTCAACTAAGTGAGCACATGATAAATTCCACATGGCTGAATGTGCCTGGCACACAAGGCACACTTGGTAGAATGCATTGTAATGTCCACATCTCTGCATTTGCCTTTAAGCCAACCACGTTGGTGTCTGTAATTTTGCTAATAAAAATGGAGACTGGATGGGGCTGAAAATATCACTCATTGGTTAAGAGCACTGGCTGCTCTTGTAGACAACTCTGGTTTACTTCTTAGCAACCCACATGGTAGCTAGTAACCATCCATAACTCCAGTTCATGGGATTCAACATCAGTTTCTAGTCTCCACCTGCATTTCCCTTCACAGGTATTGCATAATACAATTGTACTTGTATACATGCAGGCAAAACACCCATACAGATAAAGTAAAAATAGATAGATAACAATAAACTTTTTAGGGAGACTGAGAAATAGAGATAGACAGAAAACAAACACACACAGACATAGGCAGAGAGAAAGAGAGAGAGAGACAGAGAGAGACAGAGAGCAGGATTGACTAGAAAACAACCTACAGAGGGCATGGGATATGGAGCATGGAGGCAGAAAAATTTCTACTGAATTCTGTAAGTATCCTTTATTGGGCTTGGCTATGTTTGGAAAATGACTACCTTCAGCAGACGTCCCTTTGTCTTGCCTCTATTCTGCCTTTCAGCTAATTTGACAATTAAACAGGGCAAACAAGGTCTGGCTTAGAGGGGACATAAACTTTCAGTCTTTAATTTGGAGCAAACAGAGTATTTATAGCAGTTCTCCTCTGGCAGTTGCAGAACATTACCACAGTGCTAAATATTTAAAAGCAAGGCATGCTTCCAACCCCAAGGTCTCTCCCCGAATTGATAAGTCTCTTTTTATTAAATGAACTTTAATTACTTAATAATTAAATCTTCCATAGGAGAAGATATGGATCCTGATAATCTGCCAAGGACGCTAGAGGGCAAATCAGAAGAATATGCCATTTTCAGATTTGAATTTAAAGGAAGTAGTCAGCCCATTCTGGGTGTATGTAGGTCGGGGAGAGGCCTCCCCTGAGGTACCAAGTCTTGGCACAAACCCGGGCTGTGAAATGCTTTATTTTTCCCTTAACTTGAAATCCAAAGTAGCTTAGATTTGAATGAAGGCTAGTGCCTGTCTAGGCTATTCCAACTTTCTGACTGTCTGGCTCTGATGGGAAGATTTCTGAGTCTGTGTGAGGCTGTGTACATGGGCAGAAGGCTAGGGAGAGACTATTGTTCTCCTTATTATAATTCCGAAAGCCTAGCACTTTTGATGTCCCTACAGATTTAGCACCCTTCCATTCATTGCCATGGTGATTTTTTTTAACTCTCTCTCTCTTTTTAGCATCACAAAGGAAAATCTCCAGTGAAAAATGTTTGGTGCTTTTGCTGTTAACATTTCAACTGCCCCAGTGACAACATTTTGGTTGTACCTAACATCTGAAAAAACATGTACTAATCTGGAAGAGATTGATGGTTGTATTCCTTGCCCAGGATGGCCCAGCTGGGATTGGGCTAGCCAGGAGAGCTCAGATAACTTTTCTCTTGGAGATAGTGATTTGAAAGGAAGACAGAAAAATATGTCTAAAGTATATACTGGTCCTTAACGCAAGCTTATAGGGTGAGAACAAAAAATTACAGCCTCATTAGGCATTAGCTCTTTCTTTTCCCACTTGCAAATTGCTTTCAAGTGAAAGGGTATGTGTAGAGAAATAGAGGGAAGATACATGGATACAGAGGACAAATATATGTATACAGAGGGAAATATATATATTTATATATATATGGAGAGAGAGAGAGAGAGAGAGAGAGAGAGAGAGGCTTGAATATGTGCATTAGCCTCATTTTTTACTTTCCCTAAAGAAACCACTGCTTTCCTCCATTAACCTTGTATGATGTCCTAACTGCCCTGACCTCCCTCAGTGATGGACTGTGATTGGGAAGTTTAAAGACAAAATGAAACTTTTACTCACCAAAGTGTTTTTAATCAAGTGGTTTATCACAGCAACAGAAACCAAATAAGGACAAACAGGGTAACAGAAAGGTTATCCTGGAGCCAAGTATGAGTAACCATGGCCCAGGAATTTCCTCACATACTTTCCAACATGATAGCAGTTTGATGAAATTTTTATAGTAACAAAACAAAAGAAAATCATAAATTAAGACACTCTCTAAATATAAGAGGCAAAGCACGGAAATATTGACTATAAGCCTCAGGAGGCATTATAGAGCTGATGGTGTTCTTAGTACCTGTATGGTGGAAACTGGAGGTTTTTTAAAAATGCATTCTAAAAGGTTTTATCTATTAGTTAGTAGGATGTTAACTCAGACAGAGGTGAGTGAGGAATGGCCTGTGGCAATTAACCATATGTGTTTTTTCATTCAACAGATAT